AGTTCGATTCCTCTGTCCCTCTTGGAGAGCCTGGCAAGCTACCGAGAGTATCTCGCCTGCCTGGCAAGCTACCCATGACGTATTCGATATGCTAAACACAGTAACAATTGTCACAATGGAGACGTTACTGGGCCTGCTTGAGCAAATTGATGAACAACAGGAGGACAGTACAGTGACAGTGACAGTTGTGTTTGTTTTGGGGCCATACCCTATTGCTCTCAGTGCTTAACCTGGTTGTGTACAAAGGAGTCTCTCCTGGAGGGCTCAGGGTACCATAAGTAGTTTTGGGGATCAAATCTGAGTTGGTTGCATTAAGAGTGAGCTGTACCTACAGTACTATATCTCCACCTCCAACAAGTATATTTATTTATAGTTTTTGCCATAGCTGTGGTGGCCAGGGCTTACTTTGTGGGGGGAATCTTATGGGGTACTGGGAATTGAACCTGGACGTGGCATGGACAAGGAAAGACTGTACTGTCCAGACAAATCAGCACACCATTTTTTTTTCTTTAAATATAAGACTTGTGCCTATTGGTCAGTGTGGGAAGCAACTACAAAATTTAATCTGCTTAAGAAAAGAGATTACAAAGAACTATTCTCTGTACTATCTCTCCACTCCCATCACCATCTTCTGTACACCATTCTCTGAACTATCTCTCCAGCCCCCTAACAAGTACATTTTATATGGCAGAATTCCCATTGTAGGGTGAGAGAACTGTTTCAGAATCCATATTCCTCCTAGTCTTGCTTCTTGAATTTCTTGGATGACTTTTCCTGGTATTCCCATTATGAAACATTACACACATTTCTCATCTTAGGATCTGCTTCTGAGACATGTGACCTGATTCTAATTGCACATTCACAAGTAAACTTAGAATAGGATATTAAAAATCTGGAATACATGGCAGCAACATGGGCTAAAAATATTTATTGGGATGCAGTGGACTATTGATTGTCTATAAAGTCATGAAAGTTGATGAGATCAACTAAGGAGTGAGTGTATGTAAAGAAACAGCCTCAGGATACAAGAAAGTCTCAGACTCCCACCACCATCTTCGCTAATGAAACTCAGCTTATACTCATTTACTCAATTCTGGCCTTCAAACTGACCTTGACTCAGGCTTTAACAAATTTCTTAAATTAGTGCACTCAATTTTCTAGATGTTTTTCTATGCTATGCCTCATTTTACTTCATCAGTCTATAAAACTTATCCTCTAAAGTCATGTAGTCTGAAGGCCTGGCTGATTTAAAAGTCCCTTGATTATGCAAAGCAAAATGGGATCTCCCAATAAATCAGAACATTAAACACCTGTTCAGAGATGCAAATATCTCACTCACATACAGTTGAAAGAATTCCCAACACATTTTACACGTAGGGAGTACTTCACCATAACCTTGCTCATGAAAGGCAGATCTAGCAATTTTTAGACATGTGAAGATTTACAGAAGTCAAGGTAAAATGATGCTATTAAAAGAAAATTCCATTTAAAAATGCTATGATTAATAAAATTCCTCATATATAGTGCAGTCTTAAACTTTTTGTTGAATAAATTATATTTAGTTATACTATGATTCTTTAAACATTGCACTATGAACCAGGGCACATAGGAAAAAAATCAAATCATTTAGAAATAATATTTTATATACTATCTTTACTTTAATGTTATATGTGCTATTCCTATCTGTAGAACAACTGAAGGATTTACATGGAACTGTGTCAAGTAAATGTAGCTTAGGGACCATAAAAGGAAATGATGGAAACTGAAATGCCATTTTGTTAACATAGTGGTTTTTGAATTTCTTTTCAGAAGTAGATTAAATTTTTTAGCTGCTTCCCACACAGACCCAAAAGCACAAGTGTTGTATTTTAAAAAACAGATCTCAAGATGTTGATTTGAATGGAAAGTACAGTCTTTCTTTCCCTTTGACAGTTTGCTTTGAAAAGATTTTCTAGTGTGAAATACATAATATTCTCTTGCCAGTTGAATGTAATGATCCCTCAACCTAAAGGATATAAAAGAAAGGCCAAATTTGGCTAATTTTTCACAAATATGCTCTTGAGAACTTATTTGTGAAACATATCTATGTTAAAATGCAGCAAAAGTCGCTGATATTAAGAGTTTTCAAATAATTGTAACAAACAAATGAATGCTGCTTTATTCACACAAGATATTCTGGGCTATTCTCATGTATATCATTTCAACATGTACCATATTTTATATTCGATGACTGGAGTGATAGCACAGCGGTAGGGCGTTTGCCTTGCGCGCAGCTGGCCCGGCCGAGCCAGGTTCTATTCCTCTACCCATCTTGGAGAGCCTGGCAAGCTACCAAGAGTATTCAATATGCTAAACACAGTAACAAGAAGTCTCACAATGGAGACGTTACTGGGCCCGCTTGAGCAAATTGATGAACAACGGGAGGAAAGTGACATACTTAATAGACACTGCATAGATTTTGGATCAGTTTGACTTGCCAAGTGTACCAATCTTATTAGAATAATACAAAGTTCATAATTATGCTTTATATTTGCTAAAACTAGAATATAATCTGATTTTTTAAAAGTTGGAATCATCATAAATTTTATGATCTGACTGTGATTGAGTGATACATAGTGAAAAGATCCAGAAATAAAAACCAGTGGGGAATATTAATTGTCACCTATAACTCAACACTTTCTATTTAACACAGGGTTATAGAATTGATGTTCATTATAGTAAGATCATGTTTGTGGCATTCGATTCTAAATAAAATATGATAATATTTAGTTTCAGATATTAATGTTCTCATGAAAAATGATTTTATGACCTTGATAAGTTTTAAAGTCCAGATTTCTTTTCAAGTGAAATAACACAGGTCTGACTAAATAAAGAGAATTCTATTAAAATTCTCATTTCAATGATCCATAAAAACCATTTTATGTGCTTTTCTCCTTACAACTCATGTTTTCTTTTATCAATTAAAAATTTATCGGTCATATTTTATACTGGGATTGAAGTAGTTATTTTATAGACAGAGTCCTGCTCTAATAATGTGTATTTTTTCTAACTTCCTGTACTTCCTTTATTTTTCCTTAAATATGCTTTCTTGACAACTGGTCAGGTCACAACACTCTTTATTACTGTCTCCACACCATTTTTCTAAGAAACTTTCTCTGAAGTCATCCTGTCCCAATAGGTCTACATTTTTTTTTTTTTTTGTGCTACTGCATCTGGGATTTCCATGACCAGGCTCAATGACTTTCTATAAGATTTTTATAGAACTGAATCAGACTTATGGCTATGATTTATGTCAGCAAAATCATATAGAAGAAAATGGAAACAGCACAAGGTGTAGCGAAGAGAAAACCAGAGTAAGCCTATTCCTAGTGCAATCATATGGGTGCTTGAATTCCAAAAGCAATGAGCTGTGACAACAGATAGAAGTATTATCTATCAGGGGAGCTCATTAGAATCCCAAATTTTCCTTCAGGGACTTATTATATAGACACATTAGTATGTCCAAAAGTTCAGATTTCCATATGTGTTAACAGGTATTTCAGAAAAATCATATTGATTACACAGTTCAGGCCTCATGAATCATATATATTGATATATATTAACATACTATATAACGTGATATATATAAATTAATAAGTTAGCATAATAATCCACTCCTGAAATCCATGTTCCTAAAAACCATACAATAGTCAAATTATCACTAGGTCTTTTTAAGAAGAACAATCTCAAAACTTCTTTACTAAATTTCTGCACAGATAGTTATACAGTGCTATATGTAATATAATACAAATGCATACACATACACATATGAGTATGCAAAGAGTATCTCGCCTGCAAGGCAAAGCCTGGCAAGCTACCGGTGACGTATTCGATATGCCAAAAACTGTAATAACAAGTCTCACGATGGAGACATTACTGGGCCTGCTCGAGCAAATTGATGAATAATGGGAGGATGGTGACCGTGACAATTTAAAATTAATTATCTCATACACAGAGATGCAGTTAGTATACAGCAGAGCATTGAAGAATTCAATGAAGAACTGTTCTAACATTTTACTTCTTTTTTTTGGGGGGGTCACACCCAGCGATACTGAGGAGTTACTCCTGGCTCTGCCTTCAGGAATTACTCCTGGCGGTGCTTGGGGAACCATATGGGATGCCGGGAATTGAATTCGGGTCAGTCGCGTGCAAGGCAAACGCCCTACTGGCTGTACTATCATTCCAGCCCTGACATTTTACATCTTAAAAAATAAATGGAAAGGCTAAAAGTTATTGACTAGTTGCACTTTGTCATGCTTAAACAGTAGCTTTGAGATACAGAATGCTTTGTGACAAGGATCTTCCTATCTTCCTATTATCTGTACATTTCTATGTCAATATGATCAAAGATGACAAAATTCTGCAGCTGCATATAAGGTTTCCTCTGATGTGACGAGGTGATAGACAAATCCAATGTATTGTTTTTGTTTCTTTGGGGTTTTATTTTCGCCACAGCAGTGGTGCTAAAGGGTCCTGGATTCTGGGGGATCAAATGCAGGGCTCCCTCATTTATATGCATGTGATCTACTATTGGAGCTAATTTCCAGCTTGAGGGAGTAGTTTTTTTTCTATTAATCCTTTCTGTATAGAGTAAACTCAAGTTTAAATTAATTTCTAAATTTTTGGCAACAAGAACTGAGTCCAACTCCTGAATCATGACTCCTCATACACTCAACTTGGATCTGTGGTAGCTGTTAACTCAATGGCTCTTCAAATGAGAGGAAAACACATGCTTTGAATGACATCCTCAAAATAGCAAATTCTCTTGCACATACAAGAAAGTATATGGTACTCAAGTGGAAAACAATTTCATTCATTTTTAGTATATTGTGTCTATCATAAAGCTTGAAATATCCACAACTATTAATGTCATATCTGTGCATAGCACACAAACAATTATAGGGTGTGTATAACGCATTAAAATCAACAAACAACTCTGGAAGTGAGTAGATTTCACTTACTTTTGAAATATTACTTGATCGACTAGCAGATCTGCCAGGAGATTTGTCATTCTGAAAAATAAAAGTAAAAACAGTGATTACAAATATGGCAAATTTTTACCACGGAGAAGAGAAAGCCCAGGAAAGGCTGGTGTGAAAATGCTCTCTATCTTGTTCTGACTTACAGACAGATACATTGCCTGTGCAAAATGACTTTTCTTTTACCAAATGGCATGACTCGGGCAAACTATCAAAGCCTTTTGGAAATGTTAGGTTATATACCCTTCTAAGACTATTTTTTTCCAAGTGATTACTCATTTCTCCTGAAAAACTCTAATTCCTTTAAGATAAAATTAGACACTAGAAATGCAGTTCATTATGTCCCCTTTTGCTTTTGTTACCAGGAATTACTAAATAAATTTTTGTTCTCAGCTTCTGTAAATACTACATACAAAGGGCAAGGAACATCCATACACTGTGTCCTTCGAAAAGGTATTTTATTGGTCTTACTGTTGCTTTACTCTTTTGTTGTTTTGTTTGTTTTCTTGTGTGGGGGCATTGCCCAGGGTTTACTGTTCCTCCTCTGCTCAGGAATCATTCCTGGAAGTGCATTAGGGATTATATGCAGCACCAAGATTCAAACTGGGGAGTAAGGCAAGAACACTAAGCTTGCACTCTCTAGCCCTGTTGCTTTACTCTTAAGACACATAAATATTTTAAAAGACACTTAATTTGTTACTTTTGTTTTGTTTTGTTTAGGGTGGGGGTGTCGTTTGGGCTACACCTGGCGATGCTTACAGTTGTTCCTGGCTCTGTACCTACGAGCCACTTCCAGCATTGCTTGGGAGATCATACCTGGGATAGAACCATGGTTGGCTGCAAGTATCATAAGAACCTAACTTCTTGGACTCTCTCTCTCTGGCCCTAATTTGATTGTCGAATCTCTGTGGTGCTCAGAGCTTCCTTGAAGTGTGGTGCTTGGACTAGTGCTCCACCAGGGATGCTTCACCAAAGCATTGGGCCTCATCCTTTGAGTTATCTCCCTCATTTTTGAAAGTTACTTCCAATTCTTTAACAATAAGTTGAGAATTATTTTCAGTTTTTAAAGTAAGCATTAAAAATTACGTTCTATTGTCTGACCTCCTCAAGAATTTCCAATTCAGTAAGAAAGAAGCATGAAAAAAACCTTTAGAATAAACAAGTACTTTTTCAAATTGTTTCATTTAAAATTAGAAAATACTTAAGGAATTCAAAGTCTGGTTTGAAATCCAGAGTTATCATATCCTTAGCTATTAGAGGCTCAGGGCCCAGCTAGAGTCAGGCTGAGGCTTTCTGATTTTTTCAGTTTGGTTTCTCTTTCCATTCAGTCATTTATCTGCTTATGAATAATTGAACAGATCAGAACTATGCATTTTACTGTAAGAAGAATGTTGGACAAACTTGTCTTAAGCCAAACACTTGCAAAGAATATGAAGTAATATTGTCACTGAATAGGATTTTTGGGGAAAAAAAAGACAGTTTTTGAACATTTGGTTTAAGCAGTAAAATGGATGAGAAGACACTATACTGATCTTGACAGGTCATTCTTGAGAATTAAGTTATTATAAAAAACAGTGGTTCTGAAATTGCCTCACAATGACTTCCCAAGACAGTTTCAGTAACAAAGATGAAAAGATATGGCAAATGTGTTATTGTGGAAAACAGTAGCTGAGTTCAGTACAAACTGTCACTATGTCAAGCACAGGCAAACAGATATTTTAGCTGAATAGTGCTTTTTCCCTTTCATACAACATCCATCTCATACAACTGCTGATGTCACTGTGGAACGTGTTATTACAGACTGGGATGACTCACAATGATACGATTAGTTACACCTCATAACCACCCTATGATCCATCTGGAGATTAATGTATATGCTACCCACAGACATTTTTCCTTGATTAGCTTCCTCTGGTGATGGAGCGAGGCACTTTTCCACTGACATCTTAACTCCTCTTACAGAGGCTAGAAAACAATGTCCATCCATCTTTCCTTCTCAGTGAAATTCAAGGTTCTGACACATGATTGTACTAGCAGAGGTAAACTAACCACATAATTTAATGAGCTTGGTGGGAAAATTTGCTGTCCTGGTGTTCTGTTATGTTCTCTATATTTACACGGTGTTTGAGAACATGATTAAGGAACTAGACGGAAACGAGCTTCAGCAAGCGACAAGAAGTATTACAGGAAATTCAATTTGGCACTGGATTGCTTAATTTTTCAAGACAAATAGATTTTTTGTGGCATTTTTCAGATAAAACAAGGAAGGTCAGTTTGCCACCACAATTGTGAATAATTGTAGCATAGGATTATAAACAAGCAGATAAATTCCAAAACTTCTGCCAGCATCTGCTCCTGCAAAGGGAATGAATTATCTACATATTTAGCAGCTTAAGAGAATTTTTTAACTTGAAAATTGTTGATCTGATCATCTACTTACAAACAGGAAAAACATAAGTAAGCTTAGGCAAAGGTTAATTTTTGTTTGTTTTTATTTTTGAGGGGAGAGGGCACAGCCAATGGTGCTCAGTGCTCACTCCAGGTTCTACACTCACAGCAAGGCACTATACGGAGTGCTGGGGATTGAACCCGAGTCAGCTGTGTGTACAGCAAGTGCCCTGAGCACTGCACATTCTCTGGCCCCTGAATAATAAAATTTTTGCAATGGTTAAGTAACTGATTATTTCTCTCCAGGTAACATGTGCATACAGGGTTATACATCAGTGCACTGCTCGCTGTACTGGAGAGCGAGAGTTGACTAGCAATCGGATCTGGGAAAGTATCTCTGTCCTTCGTTTGTCACTGTAGGACTTCACTCTATCCACTGAAAAATAGCAGAGCTAATATTTTGCGGGAATGTTTTAAGGATCATGAGTGGTAAATGAAAACGTTTTATAATCAAAACGTTGTACTCTTACATTTTTATTGATAAGTAAAGGAAATACTAAAAAAGCTTTTTTTTTTTCTTTTTTGGGTGACACCCGGCGAAGCACAGAGGTTACTCCTGGCTCTGCACTGAGGAATTACTCCTGGCAGTGCTCGGAGGACCATATGGGATGTTGGGAATCAAACCCGTGTTTGCCTTGTGCAAGGCAAATGCCCTACCTGCTGTGCTAATGCTCCAGCCCTGTCTTTTTTTTTTTAAACCATTTGAAAAATAACAATGACCACAGGTTACTAGACTTCTTATTTTAATGTACTATATTAGTACTTTTAGCCTGCAGTTCTGTCTATTGTCGTTAGATACTAGCACATAATATTTAAGAATGAAAAAGGAAATTTTCTCCAGCCAAGAAAAAAAAAGGATCAAGAAATTTTGCTTGGCCTTCCTTTTGAAACTGAGCACAGGGAGCACTTTCTCCTTTGGAAAACTTCCAAAGCAATCTGTCCCAATTTTCTCTAACCACCTGGATGGTTTGTCCTATTACAATTGCAATGACATATTCTTCTCTGTAAACTAGTCAAATGTGGTTATCATACCTCATTATTATCAATTTAAATTCTTTAGTAGCATTGTAGAACTGTCCTCCCGTTATTCATTGATTTGCTTGAGTGGGCACCAGTAAAGTCTCACAGCAAATCGTGAGACTTGTTGTTACTGTTTTTGGTATATTGAATATGTCACAGGTAGCTTGCCAGGCTTTGCGGTGCGGGCGAGATACTCTCGGTAGCTTGCCGAGCTCTCCAAGAGGGGTGAAGGAATCGAACCCTGGTGAGCCATGTCGGCTGTATGCAAGGCAAATGCCTTCCCCGCTGTGCTATTGCTCCAGCCCTTCGATGAAATAGAAGTTCTCAAAGTCTTGCATGACTTAGTGAAATCCTAATGGTAGTGACTTGGTGGAGCAATAAAAGTTGGAAACAACAAGAGTTCCAGACAATTTTCTGTATGAAAATTATGGGATCATCTAAAGTAATGTTAAATCTTAAGAGATCATTTATAGTGTGCAGAGAAAGATATTTCTAGTTTTATAAGTGCTAGTTAATATTTTTGGTTTCATATGGATTGGCATGAACATATGTGATGCTGTTTATTTTATGATTAACATTACTAAAATAAGAACTGTTTTAAAAATTAATCTCACTAAGCATATTTATTTCTTATTATCAGCAAGAAAATAAGGTCAAAATGAAACAAAAAAAACTACTACTAAATTGTTTAAATACATTTAATGTTATTAATTAGGAAAGGTGACATCTGAAAAATCAATTCAGGGGCTGGAGCGATAGCACAGCAGGTAGGGCATTTGCCTTGCATGCGGCTGACCCAGATTCGATTCCCAGCATCCCATATGGTCCCCTGAGCACTTCCAGGAGTAATTCCTGAGTGCATGAGCCAGGAGTAACTCCTGTGCATTGCCAAATGTGGCCCAAAAAGCAAAATAAATAAATAAATAATAAATTCAATTTATTAATTAATGATATTTGTTTTGGGGATATGATGAGCAAATTTAGGGTTATTCCTGGTACTGGACTCAAGAACTACTCCTGGTAGTGCTTGCAGGAAAATGATATAGTACTGGGGATCAAACCCTAATAAGTTACATGCAAGGCAAGTATCATACTGTGGGCTATACTATCCCACCATCCCCAAAATAATTTCTTTTCATTAACCTATATGAATGAATGAAAAATATGGCCAGACATGAATTTGCATACATATGAGTACTCCATGTATTATACCTTTGATCAGAGTAGGATAATAAAGAAGACTGATAGTAATTTTCTGACCAAGATTTCAACTGGAGACTATACCAGGCATTTCTTTTGATATTAAGTAAAATAAAAAAATATGAGAGACTAGAGCAATGGTACAACTGGGAGGGCACTTGTGTGCATGCAGCTAATTAGAATTCTATTTCCTGGCAATATATAGAGTGCCCTGGGCTCCAGCAGGAGGAATTCCTGAGTGCAGAGTCATGAGTAAGCCCTGAGCACCAATTGGGTATGGCCCCTCTATCAAAACATGAGATATGACTAGTGTATATGAATCATCTTTTCAGGTGTTTTACTTTTAATTTTAAAAACAATTTAGG